TCCTTCTTGGTTGGGTCTCGCCTCCAACCCATTTACCAAGTCGTATTACTTTTGTAATATGTACCCCTGAAACCTCTTCAGGTAGTACATTCCTGACCACAGACTCCACTAACTGTAGGTCATGTGCGTGTCTTTTAGCAGGGTCGTTGTCTTTCGACTCCTCTAGATTCCAAATAATTAAACTAGGGATGGGTTTAGCTTCTTTTGAAACTGTGTTCACAGCTTTCGACCGTGACGTTAGATCCTGTATTTTAACTACTGGTAGCTTACGATTAGTTTTTATTTTAACAGAGTCCTGGGAGTCAAGCGAATGACTCACAACAATGTCAGACGAAGCTTTACTATGAGACTTTGGCGGATTGGTCTGAGAGTCCACCAAGGACTTACCAAGTAAACAGTCATTAGTTTTAGCTACCTTTCCTACTCTTCTGCGTTTTCGCGTCATCCATTTTCCATCAGTCGAAACGTCTACATTAGAACAACTCGGGACAGTAATTGTTTTATCTGGGTCACCGGTTGCTGCTGTAGCAATATGGCCACCAACGTCTAATGACGTGTCACTCACTGATCGTTTCGGGGGAGAACGTTTAACTGTGGGTTGCACAGGTAGATGTCTGGCTTGCGCCGTGATAGCACTTACGACACTAACGCAATCTTCGCCATCCGTACCAATGTTATCAGTACAGCCCTCATCAACCTTCTTATTAGCCAACACCAGGAGACTAATTGCTTCCTGGATAAGCAATGTTTTGCTCGAGCAACAAAAACTACAAAGCCAATGAGAGTTGGGCTTTGAACACCTTTTATATGCAGTGGGGCTTAATCGGGTGCACATCTTATGGAACCACTTATTACACTCATCACATTGCATCCCTTCATCCACGGGAAATAAGCAGTATGGTTGTCCACATTTATGAGTAGACCTAGCCATCTTGAAAATCAACTAGAACGGTGACAAAAACAGGATATGTAAAAGGATTTTCAAACCTTAACTAAATAAACCAAGTAAAAGTCGACCAAGTATGCTTCGATGCAATAAATACACAGAAGCAAAATCGAAAAACTCAATACAATATCACTTTAACTGGGGTAGATGCAATTAAAGTGTAAACAGTAGTTTTGATGCGTAATTTACGATCAAAACAGTTAATTAACTCAACGAGAAAGAATACCACTGAGCTATTTATATGAAAATAATTTCAAATGGTGGTGGACGGTATGGAAGAAGCTTTCGCTTAACAGGCTTCCGTGTCTAGTAGCAGGAAATCACCAAGTCCTCCAGGCAGGAACCTAGGTATGTTAACAATAAAAGAGGGAAAAGAAATTGGAAAATCATCGTATGATGCTGTCCTTTGACCTTAGGAATAGGTTGTAGTGACTCACATTTATCACGAGAACACGACTGGTTTAATAAAAACAATTATTATTACAACCAACTGTACCAGTGTTTGTTTTAACGTGCTTTTGTTTGACTGTGCTAATGACAGCTATTTTGTGCTTCCATTCTTTTACTTACACCTTGATTGTAACTTCGCGCGAATTCGGTTACGTTCTATAACCAAGCTTGTATTCTGTCACGATCTCGGTATCCTTTCGATGCCACGAGATCGCCAGCGAATACATCTCGATTTGGTCCATTAACTGCCTTCTGATATTTGGCTTCTCGGGGATTTTATGGATCTATTTGGTTACGTCCAACCCTCGCCTTCTGATTTATCTGGCACGTGTTTCTTTGTAGCGGTGTTCATAGTCAATTTCGACTCGATGCCACGCTACAAGGTCAAGTTGGCAACATGGCACAAAAAACTCGTGCCTCAAATATCCGTATCCGACCAGATTGGCCGCTTGAGGATCGAATCAAGTGGAAGAATGCTCTTACGGAGTTGAGGACTCGCAAATTAAATGGCGAAAATAACCTTACCATTAAGGGTTTTCGGGTAGTCAGGTCTTGGAAGCCAATGCTTCCGAGGCCTGTATGGGTAGAACGATTGATTTCCAAAACACCTTAAGTGTGTGCTACACGAACGCTCGTAGTCTTAGAAATAAAACGTCCGAGCTAAGTCTGATGGTGCAAGAATTATGTCCCGATATAATCGTTGTTACAGAAACTTGGTTCACCGTTGATATAGACTGTTCTCCTTTCATTGCTGGTTATATCTGTATCAGAAGTGATAGAGTTTCAAGTCGCAAGGGGGAGGTATAATATTTTACGTTAGGGATCACTTTCGTATACAGTCAACCATATCGGAGGCTCATATCAGTGGCACATGTGAGGTTGCATGTTGTAAGATTAAATCTAGAAATGGGTTAGTGACTATAGGGGGAATATACCGTAGTCCGTCTTGTCTGGCTGACGACTTTATCCTAAGACACATCTGTTCTTGGAGTATGGCAGAATGTTGTCTCATCATTGGGGACTTCAACGCACCGCATATCAACTGGATAGAGCTTACAGCTCCAGGTAGCGGTTTCGATAGCGACCTTTTATCTACCGTTATTCAGTGTGCACTTGTACAATGTATCACAAAACCGACACATATTGATTTGCATCATGTTCCGTCACTGCTGGACCTCGCCCTCACCCACCACTCTGAGGATGTCTTTGATATCCAGCACCTTCCTCCACTAGTGAACAGTGATCACGTTGTAATTCACTTTAAGTTTAGGACACATGGTATACAATTCGTATCTGCTCCACCCCGTCCCAATATCTGGCGAGCTAATATTCCGGAAATCAGAAACCGTGCTATCTCGACCGATTGGTCGGTCGACGCGGATGGATTGATCGAAGATGAATGGAATAAGTTTAAGGCTACATTCGAGTCCGTAACGTCGCCGTTTATCCCATGGTCAGCACGTAAGCTATCACATTGCCCTCCATGGATTAATAAGGAAACCCGGAAGCTGTTAAAGCGTAGGAAACATTTCTGGGACTTATTCTTGTTGACAGGTCATGCACCATTTAAGCGTGAGTATCAAAAATACCGTAATATCTGTAAGAAAACCATAGCGAAATCCCGTACCACTTACGAACGACAGTTAGTATATGATAGCCGTACTTGTCCGAAACGATTGTTTTCGTATGTTAAACGGCAAATGAAACGTAGTGATGGTATTCCCCCGTTGCTGTTACACGAAAATTCAGAATTACTAGCTGAATCAGATCGAGCAAAAGCTGAGACTTTTTCAGATTATTTTAGCGAAGTCTTCTCTACGTTTATTGTAACAAATACTTGTCCCACTCACACCGAGATACCAACCATTGAATCCGTACAGGTGACTGAGGAAACTGTCCTTCCGTTGATAACTAACCTCAAACCTGGTAAGATACCGGGCCCTGACGGGTTACATCCACGGTTGCTGTCATCTCTTGCGGACATTATTTCAAAACCGCTTGCGACACTCTTCAACATGTCCCTCTCACTCGCCCAACTCCCTAGAGATTGGAAGGACGCTATAGTTAGTCCTATATTTAAGGACGGTCAGCGACAGATAGTATCTAACTACCGGCCTGTCAGTCTAACTAGCATAGTCGTTAAGTTACTCGAAAAGATAATTCGGGTTAGGTTGCTAAGCCACATAGATTTACACAATCTGTTAGCTCCTGAGCAACACGGATTTCGTAACAAGCGTTCATGCTTGACTAACTTGCTTATTGCGAGGGAGGATTGGACAGCAGCCCTAGATCACGGTCTGTCTGTCGACGTGATATTCATAGATTTTAGCAAAGCGTTTGACAAGGTTTCACACGTAGGTCTTATGCAGAAGCTCACGAGCTTCGGAATAATAGGTACTGTACATGAGTGGATAGGAAATTTCTTATGTGACCGCAGACAGAGAGTTAGGGTCAATGGAACGCTATCCGATTGGAAGCCGGTCAAAAGTGGTGTACCCCAAGGCACCATCTTAGGCCCTCTGCTCTTCCTTCTCTACGTTAATGAGTTACCACTGTTACTTAGGTCGTCGACATTATTGTTTGCAGATGATGTAAAAATCTGGAGAACAATAAAAAGTGCGGCTGATCATGTGGATCTTCAAGCTGATTTAGACGATTTAGTTAGATGGGCTCGAGAGTGGGGCTTAGAAATTAATGCTAGGAAGAGTGTACTAATGCACGTCGGTCACGGTAATAGTTACCGTTACACTATTGAGGGTAAACCTCTTCCATGCGTTCAAGAGCATAAGGACTTAGGAGTAATATTAAGTCATGACTTAAAAACAACTGCGCATTGCAAAGCAGCCGCTGTCAAAGGTTTTCGTGCGTTATGGTCACTTCGCCGAGCGTTCAAATCTTTTGACGAGGAAACGTTTCGAATTTTATACCCCATATATGTAGGACCACATTTAGAGTACTGTATCCAAGCAGCTAGCCCGTGTCTAGTAAAGGATACTAACTCCCTTGAGCGTGTCCAGCGTGTGGGAACGAAATTAGTGAAGGGTCTTTCTAGTCTCCCTTACGATGAGCGCTTAAAACGCCTAAATCTTTTCCCCTTGTCGTATCGTAGGACACGAGGTGACCTTATACTGGCATTTCGTATCTTTAATTATGATTTGGGTGTTAATATGTCTTATCTTTTTGCTCCCTCCAGCACTAATAATCTCCGAGGTCATAGCAAGAAGGTTCATAAACCACGATCTAATAAACTTAAAGTGGGATCCCGTTTTTCTCATCGAGTAGTCAATGATTGGAACGCCTTACCCGAACAAGTGGTATCAGCCCCATCAGTGAATACTTTCAAGGAAAAGCTGGACCTTCACTGGAAAGCAATGTGTCAGGATTAACACAGGTTCATCAACCTACTATCCTTATTACTGAAGACTGAAGTCAGCTGACAATTGGTCAAAGTTTAGTTCAAAAAATAGTAAACAAGCAAAGGAAGAAAGGGTATCTTTATAATACGTCAGAGGCGATTGTAGTTCATGAGGAAATAATATTTGTGAGCAAACTTGAACGTTGAAGTATTTTAAGGGAGTTCTTGTGTAGCCCGCCCGCTCCTTCTGAAAGTACTGATGCATTACTTTGTTGGATGGCCTTCGGTTCTTGAGTCATATTGTAAGTTGGGCGAAGTCTTTGCAGTGTGTTCATCTGAAGATGGGGAAACATCCATTGTTTGCACTAGTTCAGATGTCGTCGTTTTTCATCTTAAGGTGAGAATTCCTTTCTTTGTTTTCTTAATGTATAGTTCTTGTGTGCCATAGCACATTTTTCTCGTTCGAATTTGTGCTTGACTGAAAATGGGCTCACATCGTCTGCTGTTTTAAAGTGGGACTCTTCCAAAATACTGCTATGCGTTAGTCGAACCTTTTCAATTATTTTTTTCCCGAAGACTGATAAGGGTACAGTGCTCATATATTCTGTCAAGAACCTACAGTCCGTCTGCCAATCACTGGATCCAGACAGGTATATTTGTGTTGTGCTTATAGTTATCTTGAGATAATCAGCGTTCCTGGTCCGCCCATAGAAATATTCTTCTTAAAGGCTATTCGAGTTGCTGAATGTAAATGCAGGTAAATTGCGGTTATAACCTACTTAGTTCTCAGTGTGTTTTCATTAGGTGAAGCTGTTATTGTTGCTACTGAGAAAGGGGGTTTGATCAAATTGCTGTGGGATGGTTCGTATTATGGTGAATCTATAAACCTTAGATCAATCAACTTACCACGAGATATCAAAAGCTTCAGTAATTGTTCAAAAACGTTTACCTATGATCGTTAATATTTTGTATTTATCCTAATTTATATAGGTTTTTATCGGTTTTGCAGAGTTAGTCTAAATAATTAAGAGTGAATAGTAGGTTTATCCGCACTCATCTATTTAGGGACTTTTATCGAGATACCTCTCCCAAGCCGTTCACACGTCAATAAACGGTTTACCTAGCTTCTGCTATCATGCAGTCAGATTCTCTCCAAGTTATACCAACATATTCCTTGTTCCGAAGTGTCGTCAGCTCTTCCAAACGTCTCAGCTTGTTCTTTCTTGTCTCCCATTGCTAACTAATTTCATATTATTGACTTTTTAATTCACTACCTTGGAGCTCAGAAATATTTAAGTATATATGTGTCGTCTGCATCATCTCTCATACCTAGCAAACATATGACTTCGCGTTGCGGTAAATATCTTAATAATCCATAGTATCTTAAACAGATGAAAATATCGTAATATCTGAGTTATTTTCTGCATCTTAATACACTGTTGCTTCTGGATTTGTGTCTGCTTATTTTAACAACAACAAAGTACTTAACTACAGTGATAAATTTATGTATCACGAAAGCTTCGTCGAAGTTAGCTAACAATATCTGTTTTTGTAAAGTCTTATTAGACTGTCTTAACCTCTGTCATCTGCAGCTCAAGATAATGTTTTAAGCCCTCATGGTTCGTAGATATGTACACATTGTTTTACGGAATAATATTAGAAAGTGTCCTCATTAAAACTGATCAGACTGTTTGGTTTCTATGGTCAGGGTCTTTCTGGTTTTGGTGTAACAGCTACATAGTATCAGTTAATGTACATATAGCAAAATTAGTGTACTAAGCCTCAAATTCTAAGTAAATATCTGGGGGACACTTTTATCTAGCCAAATAGCTTTCGAAACTGGAAAGTTTATGGGTCTTAACATAGTTTTTTTTCTGTTTCTGGTTTGAATAGGTACTAAATGGTTAGCCTGATAAATTCACATGCCTGACATCTAAACAACAGTGGCTTAGGAGCTAGAAAACGTCCTGATCCAACCACTAACCCTCACACTTAGAGTGCAACTTGTACCCAAGTACCTGGTAAATGAGTTTACGTGTCACTGAGTTTATAAGTGGTAACGAGTAGTGGATAAGAATTAGTGATATTTGAATAAAAGAACTAATTTGACCATTGTGATTAATGTATGTAATTTCATCCATTTATGTACCACAAATGCCAAATGGATTAATTGTAGGATGATCAATTATTCTAGGTATAACTATAGGGTTCTTTGGCACAGGTTTACAATTTGTGACTAGTTATTGAAAAAGTTTTTTCTACTGCAATTACTTCAACTTTAGTTTCTAATTATATAGTTGATACTTTTCCATATGGATTTTCGACAGCCACTGGCTGGAAAACGCTTTATCGGTAAGTGGCATCTGTAGGGAACAATTTCCTACAGGTTTAATTCTGAGCTATTCTCTAGACCGTCGAATACAGAGTCTTGGTTTAGCCAAAGTCAGAACAAGCAAGCTATTTGGCTAGATAAACTTTGTCTGTTTCTAAAACATAAATTAACATCGTTAGTGTACAAACAATCTGTACGGTCTATTAATACAGGGAAAAAAACAGACAAATAACATACCGAACAGTAGCCAGAGTATAGGAAGAATGAGTCAACAAGCAAATATTGTTTTACAATGAACATAAAACTGTGATTGGTTAATAAAGAGATACAGTCGTACAAGATCAAAAGGAGTTAATGTGGTGGTGGGCGTTTCCTTTTATTATTGGTGAGTTCGTCTATCGATCACATTTTACACTCCCCCCGAAACGCGCACCACGTCCATTGTCCAGGGCCGTCGTCGCCGTCAGACAACCGGCTTCTTCCAGCAAGCATAGGCTTCGCACATCTCTGACGATTTCTTCGTTTGAAGTTCTCAACTTTGCCGTGCGGACTCGTCCGTCTGGGCCATAGCTTACTTGCTCGACTATAGCCTTAGGCCATAGACCTCTATTCATTTCGACGTTACTAACGAGGACTAAGTCACCCGGTTGTAAGTTCTTGTGTACGTCCAACCATTTGTCTCTTGCTTGGAGAGTCGGTAAATATTTTATCCATCTATTCCAGAATGCGGTGGTTAGTCTTTGAGCTTCTTTCCATCTTTTGTTGTATAATAACGTCTTATCCACCGAAGCATCGTCGAATGATAATTTTTTATGAATCAACAACTTGTTCGGAGTAAGAGCTTCTAGGGTACCAGGGTCATCTGTCATCTTAACCAGAGGTCTGTCATTCAGTATCCGTTCCGCCTCAGTTAAGAAGGTTTGCAGAGTTTCATCGGTCAACACGTTTTGGAATAAAAGCACTCTTAAGATTCTTCTAATTGATCTTATGATGCGTTCCCACACACCACCTCGATGACTTGCTCTAGGTGGGTTAAAACGCCACTCACATTCTCGTTCTTTAAGGTGGTTTTCTATTTTATTAGTATTCCAGGAACGTATAATCTGTCTCAAACTGGCATCTGCACCTCGGAAGTTTGTGCCGTTATCACTAAAAATACGCTTTGGACATCCTCTTCTGGCAATAAATCTTGATAATGCGCATAGAAATGAATCCGTATCTAAAGAGTAGGCCATTTCGATGTGAACGGCTCTAATAGATAAGCAGGTGAATAAACAGCCATAACGTTTCTCGACAACTCTACCACGTTTGGCATAGAACGGTCCGAAATAATCCACACCTACTTGACTAAAGGGTGGCGAATGAGTCTCTACTCGGTATTCCGGCAACGGTGCCATAATTGGGAACATGGTTTAGGATAAAGTCTTCTACATAAATAGCATCGTTTTAGAACCTTCCGAACAGTAGAATATCCTCTAACAATCCAATACTCCTCACGAATACTACTCAGAGTTTGAGTAACTCCAACATGTGCGTTAATCACATGATAACGCATTATAATCATATCTGTAACAAAATGATTATTAGGAAGAATAATCGGATATTTGGTTTCAAAGGGTAAACATGATAACTGCAAACGTCCTCCCACGCGGATTTTGCCTTCAAACATAAAGGGGTTGAGATTTCTTATAGAACTTTGACGAATTAATTTTTTTCTCCTGTTCACCTCGTCCATTGCTTCTTGACCTTTTTGCTGTCTAAAAGCGTTTTCTCCGAGCGTCAACGGTGAGCTGTTTAGAATTCTTTTTTCGGCCGGGTACGCGATACTTTGGACTAGTTTAATTATGTCACTCTTCGAATTTTCGATATCCTCAGCACTTAGCGCACCTAAGGTTAGACGATTTCCGTTCCTCTTGTTTAACATATTATTGATAAGCCGTCTGCAGTATGAAAATACCCTTAGAAGTCTGGACCACGACTTGCACGTACGAAATCGATCTAGGAACTCATCATCGTGTCTTGGAGTCCGAAATCCTCTGTCAATACATGGGCTATAGTGTTCTCAATCTTTTCTAGGTTAGGCCACTTATTTCTTCCTCCCACAAGAATCTCGGCCCTTGTAACCACTCTCTTACCTTAGCCTTATCATTTAGTGATAATCCACGAGACGCGTGATCTGCAGGATTCAATTTACCTTTCACATATCTCCATTGGCTCGGCGTAGACAACTCGTGTATAGTTTCTAACCTGTTACTCACAAACCTTTCAAACCTTTTAGTCGTATTTTTTATGCAATGAAGCACAACTGTCGAATCGGTCCAATAAATGACTGACGAAATGGGGATACTTAACTGTTCCCTTACGTGCCTTCCAATCTTAGCACACAGAACACAGGCCGTTAATTCCATTCTGGGTATAGTAACAAGCTTTAGAGGAGCAACCCTAGACTTAGCTAGCAGGAATGAACAATGAATCTGACCAGAAACACTTTCGTAACGAATATACGCAACAACACCATACGCAAGCTCGGAGGCGTCGGCAAAACAATGAATTTGCGCAGATGATGGTTCAAACCCTGGTTTCAAACACCTTGGTATCCTTAAGTGGTCTAACCCTTTTATATGTCTACACCAATTATTCCACTTTGCTTGACAATCTATGGGTAACTCGGCATCCCAGTCTAGTTTCTGACGACAAGTATCTTGTAAGATCACTTTAGCCGGTAATATTATTGGGGCTACAAACCCAATTGGATCAAAGATAGATGCTACATACGATAAAACATTCCTTCTGGTGGGTTTCCGTGAAATTCATGAACTTTGAAACATAATTCGTCTGTTCGGACGTTCCACTCTATTCCAGAGTTCGTTTACTTGTCTCACTGGACTCACAGACAGTAATGTTTCCTTCAGCACGGTCTTCTGGAATGAACTCCAGCACTTCAACGCTATTACTAGTCCATTTAGTTAAGTTAAATCCTCCCAAACTTAGGAGTCTTTTAAAGTGTGAATATGTCCGTTTGGCTTCTTCTATGGTATCCACACTTATCAATAAATCATCCACATAAAACTGTTCTTTAGCTGCTTGCGTAACAGCCCTGGGAAATTTATCTTGATTATCAGAAATCGTTTTCTGTAAAGCAAAGGTGGCGCAACATGGCGATGAAGTTGCCCCGAACAGATGAACTTTCATTCTATAGATCCGGGTTCCTTTTCTAAGTCTCCACCTGGCCACCACAAATATCTAAGAACATCTCGATCATGCGGCGGAACTATTACTTGATGGAACATGGCTTCAATGTCCGCCGTAAGACCTACTGGTCGTTGCCGGAACCTGGTGAAAACGTCTACTAGGTTATTGACTAAATCAGGCCCAGAATAAAGGCTCTTATTTAAAGACGTTCCAGCATACTGAGCTGCACAATCGAACACTATTCTTAGCTTGTTAGGTTTCTTGGGGTGGAAGACTGGATGATGAGGAAGATACCAAATTCGCCCATCAGAGTGGTTATCGTTTACCTTTTCAGCGTAATCTCGTTCTACATACCGAGTCATGGAGTCTACATAGTCTTGGAACAACTTCTTATCCCGAATAAGTCTACCTTTCAAACAGCTAAGTCTACGTTCTGCTAATTCTCTGTTATTAGGTAACTTGTGCCTCCAAGGTAGAGCTATTTGATAGTGCCCGTTTAACCTTTGTACTGAATTTGATATAGCACTGAGTGCTATACGATCTTCTACAGACATCGATATAGTACGACTAAATGGATCTTTGAATTCAGTTGAGTACAACTGTTCGAACTTATCCTCTAATTCCTCTTAGCTGAGAGGTGGTTGAGTGCACGATTGCTTTTACAAGGTTCCTATAGGAACCGAACAGCGTCCAACCTAACAGAGTCTTCACGGCGAATGGTTCATTCGGCTTTCCAGTTCTTATCTCTTTCATTTCGTGTACACTCGGTGCGTTGCACCCGATCAACAGTTTGACATTCTCATCCTCTACTCTAGGAAAACTTATGTCTTTTAAATGCGTCCAGGATTTCATTTGAGACGTCGTTGGTACCGTCCTGCGCAACATAGGTAATCTCTCGACTGTCCATACGTTTGGGATTCCAAATGACGAAGACGAGTCTAAGAAGGAAACCTCTAGTTGAACCTTTTTACACTGAATTGTGGAATGGTTATCCGACGTTTTCAACGAAATCGTCTTAGGCTCTCTGTTATGAACGGGGAATTAAGAAGCCCAGACAATTACGAAAGCTATTTTCTTGGGACGTTATTGCATTTCATTCAAACCCTGTAAAACACTTATATTTATTTTTGTCCCTGTCTTATTCTACATAACACGAGCTTTCGTTCTATGTATCATTCACTAGCATACCCTTTTTTGTTCCAAAAATATTGTAATTTAAACATTATATTTTGCACTATATTTTCTACCCTAATTCCCTGTTTCGGGCATAACTGTATTTTTCCAAATTATCCTACGTCGTGGTCAAGATATGCACTTATTTATTCATGTACATTTTTGTAGTAATCCGAATTCAGAGAATCCAGAGTTTAGTGTTCCAACTGTCTTGTCTTCTTTCATTTGCGTGCTTGCCAACCAATCAGGATTTAGAATAGTTCTCTCTACCCCATCTCGAACTCACGCATATTAGACTCAAGGGTAAGCCACTCAGCCTAACGCGTCAAGGTCATAGTTTAGACTAGACAGACCAAGGCCAAGTCATAACAAGTATCACGGGGCAAAAGCGATTCAAGGTCATAACACTCTCCTTCTAAATTCAACCGTTTAGCTAGATCTTCTGTAATAAGCGAGGCATCCGACCCACTATCTAAGAAGGCGCAAGTCTGTGCTACCTTTTCTCCATTTCTTACCACTACAGGCTTTATTGCGAATGCTGCTTGTTTCTGTACACGCTCAACACTTTTCTCCGTACATAGCTGGGTGTTAATGTGTGCATCAATATTAGTATTCCTTGGTTCTTCCCGCAACTCGTGTAACAGGGTATGGTGTCTCCAGCCACATCCTTCGGCAGCACACGACCTCGGCGATCGACATTTTTTTGCTACGTGGTTTGCCTTCAGGCATACATTACACAACTTGTGTCTAAGAACGAATTCCTTCCTTTCTCTAACATTCTTGTCTTTAAATTTCTGACATTGATCCAAAGAATGATTACTGGAGCACTCCAAACAAGATGGACTGCGTAAGAGAGCATTATCATCACTAGCACTCGCATAAGATATTGTTGCTGCATTGTAATCTGTACTAATTTTCCTTTTTAAAACACCAACATCTTTATTGCCACTATTACTACCGCGGTTGACAAGTAAGCCGTACCTAGTATTAAGAATGTCCAACTGCTCTTTCACAAATTCGCAAAGGTCCTTGAATGAAGGTCCTCTACCTATCTTAAGAATTCTACACGCAACTTTAACCCATTCTCTTTGCAGGTGTAACGGGAGTTTTAAAAACATGCATTCGATAGTCCTTGTAGAATTAAGATCAGTTACATAGTTCATCTGCGTGAGTGTTAGCTCACAAATATGCATCTCACGAGACAACCTTCTTAAATTATATGGATCGGTCCCTTTAATGGCAGGGATGTTCAGCATCTTATCAATAAATGCATGGGCTACTATATGCTTCTGACCAAATGCTTCCTCGAGAAGTTCTAGTGCTTTACGATAGCCTTCTTCTGGCTCAAGCAATGCGCAATGAACAATAGTGTTTTTAGCTTCACCATCACAGTACTGGATCAAATAGTTTAACCTAGATCGGAACCCAATGCTCTCGTCAAAACAGTCCTCAAAATTCCGTATGAAGCTCCAATAGTTCATAGGGTTACCATCAAACCTTATAATCTCTTTCTTTGGTAGGTCTAAAGCTCTAGACATCATTGTTACCCAGTCTTTTCTAGGAGGAACATCAACGACATGTGAGACAGATGTAGACTCATACGTCATCGCCTTGTCAACCATAACTTGATTATAATGTTCTCTTCCTTTTTGGCGTAACCGTTCTAGCTCGATTTCTTTTTCTGTCTGAGCTAAACGTACTTTAGCTAATTCTAACTCTAACAAGGGATCCATTCGGTAGGTATTTCCTCCGAGCTGGTCATCACTATGGGTTTCTGAATAATGAGGAGACAATTCAGGAATATGATCAGTTTTATGACTCTCCATAGACATCTAAAGGTACCGAATGTACGAAACTTTGATGAGATACTGTTCGAAACTTTGTAGGGAACAATTTCCTACAGGTTTAATTCTGAGCTATTCTCTAGACCGTCGAATACAGAGTCTTGGTTTAGCCAAAGTCAGAACAAGCAAGCTATTTGGCTAGATAAACTTTGTCTGTTTCTAAAACATAAATTAACATCGTTAGTGTACAAACAATCAGTACGGTCTATTAATACAGGGAAAAAAACAGACAAATAACATACCGAACAGTAGCCAGAGTATAGGAAGAATGAGTCAACAAGCAAATATTGTTTTACAATGAACATAAAACTGTGATTGGTTAATAAAGAGATACAGTCGTACAAGATCAAAAGGAGTTAATGTGGTGGTGGGCGTTTCCTTTTATTATTGGTGAGTTCGTCTATCGATCACATTTTACAGCATCTTTATAAACCAAGCTAAAACTAAATGATTTCACATGAAGCTTATCCCCTCCATAGTTTCTCTCATTAGATGTCGCACCAAGTTGCTTTTGTTTTCCGCTACACTGCATTTAATATTTTCCCACATTTTCAGGTGATAAAAACTCAGAAGAACAAGTTTACTGCAAAACTGTAGAATGGGCTCCTACGTTTGGCGGCGCTTTCGCTCTTTTTTCTTCTGGTCATATAGCTTTGTTTGTATCACTTGGTGCTGTTGCGAATCAAACGGTTCGTGTGATAAATTACCTTGAAATTACTAAATGTGACTTCACTTTTGGATAATTTTATATATCGATAAGGAGCTGGCTGTTATTTTTATTTATTTGAGCACATAAATATTGGTACAAGAGGGGCATCAGATATATATGCGCCACACAAAACAATGAGAATGGGAAGAGAAAAAGAAGGTAAGGTGCATATAAGAGAAAAAACAATAACGACCACAGATTAGTGTGTGTTACTGTAATAATAATAATAATAGTGGTGAAAACGGAAAGGTGCAACCAGAAGAATTCTTTCAGTTAAGGAAGTTACAACCACATTTTTATGAAGAGAGTAAAAGAAGGTTGCAGCAGGATCACCACTGGCTTCTATTGTGAGCCGTATCTGATAACGTCTCTAGCCACTGTTTTGCACCATCTCTCGGACCCCAACCAGAGAGTCGTGAAGGACCAACAGAAGCCGCCCTTTTTCAGCTTTCTTTCATACCACAACACCATGTCATACACTGACCACCCCCAAGCATCCCTTTAGTTATGCTACTTCAGGATTTAGTTGAATGTAATCCGACAAGGTTTTGGTTAATTGAAATCTAGATATTGAGCGAGGCAGTACAGATGTGGTGGTTATATTGCAAATAGTCTCATAGCGTAGGGCGTTTGCTATAATGGTTACATTTATGAAGCATCGATGCGATATATATATTTTCAGTTTCCCGTATTTGTTTTTTAAAGACATTACTAATAGGAATGCGGGAAACCAACCATACCCAGTCAGTCTTTGATCCTGGAGATGATCTTTCATCCACAAAGGCTGTAGTTCATTTGGCTGATGTCAATCTTATCTCGAACATTTAAAGTACTTTGGGCTAATTGTTTTCACGATACAGTGGTGGTAATTTGCATACTATGATCGAAAAGTTAGTCCAGGATCCTTATATATTTAGACTAGTGAAGTATTACACTCGATCCTTTAAATGGGACTCACAGTTTTACGTTGGACTTTCGAAGTTTCTTTTACATCGGAAGTTTCCGTAATAAATGTGTAGGTAAATTCATCTTGAACGCATGGACGTATCGCTTGTGTTATAATTTTCTGTTTGATTTTTTTTCGTAACACATGTAAGTAAGTTAGTCTGCAGCTGTATTCAGCAGAGTAAACATAAATACAACAAATAATTCCTATCGTGAAATATTAAACTGGGACTCAGAAATGTATTTTTGTAGTGAATTTGCAGCAATTATTAGTTGATAAAAATACTAAACGAAAAGGCTGCAAGAAGAGGGTTTAGAAAGTAAGGTAAGTGAGAAGGAAAGATAAACACGTATCATAACAATCGACCTGCGAATACTGTTGTCTCATCCAAACATCCTATCGACGAAGAACACGATTTAAATAAGGTAGGATAATGTTTTCACTTCTGGTCACAAAACAAGTTCCCCTAACATTCGATGCGGCCCAAGCACTTTCCAAATATCTAGTAAAATAAGTATTTATTCATATGCGTATCTCGAATATCCTTTAGAAAATTGACCGTTATTTGAAAAAATTAACCCCAATAACTTGTAAGGAACACTCAGTAGTAAGATTTAGAGAAACAAGAAATTGCTTCTAAATGGTTGTTGTTTAGCTCAAATGCATTTTTAATTATTTTAATTTCCTTCTGTACTACTCGCGTTAAGATATTTTGAGACAGAAATTGAGTGTTGGTGAATTGTGTTTGATATCAGTACATTTTCCTGCTTCGATTTGGGCTGCCTGGCAGTGTCCCAGCCCTCACACAAATCATTTGATTAGTTTGATATATATATATATATATACCGATGCTTATATGATAAAATAAATTTTCTGAGTTTTGGACTTTCGCTATAAATTCAAAGCATTAGAACACTTAAAACCATCTCTAAAAAATAGAATCGTTTTCGTAATGACAACTCGTTTAAAATATGGTTGAAGTAATCCCCACCACTGACTTCTTTACAATAAATTGGGATTTTCAATGTCATTTCTATCATTCGGGTTGTTGTAGGATAAGATAGAGTACCTCAAATCTAGATGATTTAGAAACGTATTGCTTCGTTGATTCGGATTTTCATGAACCAGCTACATCGTTCTCTATGTATAGATTTCCTACCCTGTTGAACTGTGAGGATTTGGCGAAAGCCATTATCCTAGTATCAGAGGTTACCACAATAATGATTGTACAGAGAATAAAAGGGTAACGAGTGACCTTTTCAAATTCATCTTCAGGTTGCTTACTAATGTGCCACTATGCTATTTGGCATATGTTTGAGGTAAGAGATATTCCGAAGTAAGCATGGTATACCAGTTTGTCGGAGTAATTGTGTATGGCTTTAAGTTTGTTTATCAAGATTGTGTAATTCAGTTTGGTGGACGTTTTTATTTATCCCTTTCCATTTATTCACTGCAAAATGCGTTCACATTAATGTCCCTAATTTATTTTTATCTCGACTTCATGTAAAAAAGATTGTAATCCTTAGATTTAATTGCTTCAATCCTGCTCAATTTGTACCAAGTGTTCAGACGATAGTATACATAAATAAATGTCTCAACATTCATTTGAATTCTGCACTATCATCTAGTCTGTGTTTATTCCTAATATTTTGATATTGTCCAGACTCTATGTTTTTGAATTTTTAGGATATTGAAGTGATCTTGGTCGAGAACGTCGGTCATCCAACATGTACGGCTGTAAATAATCGCTTTCGGACACTAGCTGTTGGAACTGAAAGGCAGGATTTTTTTCTATGTACATCTCAGACCTATAGATTCATTTGATATGCTACATTACTTACCGTGAATTAATATATATATATATATATATATATATATATATATATATATATATATATATATATATATCGTATTAATCAAGCTCGTTTCTTAGTAAAAAAATGGTACCACATTCTTTGTATCCACTTACTTGTCAGTTAGATTAAACCTGGATTTTGTATAATCACCTTGATGAGTTTGATCGTTTTTCTGTTTAGTGATACTTTCAAGTTTGAAAATTATTTCGCGATATGCAACACACTTATGATGTCGTGTCTTACGACTTTTTAAAGTGTTTTGATATTTGAACATTGAGACATTACTGTTCTTGTCTTCTGGTGGGGTTTTCTGTATAAATGTCTCGCGAAACATTCAGAAACGTTTAGATATTTATTCATGAAGTGGGTTCAATGTGAATAGGATCGGGACTTGTGATTGCAAATATACAATAAATGGAATGTGGCTAGTAGTGTAGTCCAGGGTTGATGTTCATTTCGGGACTCCGATCCAATACCGTTAGCTTCAAACGCTATCGCGTTATCCAGTTAGCTGCTGATTACAGTTAGCCACTCACTTGTACAATGGCTACGAGTTTTAATCCAATTTGAAATGATTTTTGACTATCGCGTTGTGAATATTTTTACTAAAATTGGTTCAATCTTGGTTGGCATATACGGGTCTTGTTCAGATTGCCTCGAAATAGCCATTATGACAAATTAATATGGAAAGTGGACGGGATTCATGCGTCACAGCTATCTGGTCATGAAGTTTTTCAAAGCATTGTTGATGTATCATGAAAAAGTTCAGGTGCTAATGCTGAGGTCAAATATAGACCATTGGGCGAAAATGACCATTCGGTTGATATTGCTGTGAATCTTCATGGACTAAAGTATACAGGACATGTATTACATGTGCTTAAACACATTCTCCGATGCAATGTTTGTTGGTGTCGAAGTAGGTTGGAGCAAAGCTAGGCATATTCTGACCAAAACATGGGATTAATCTCTGACTGTTAAAGTAGACCGTGCTCGTGTGTTGTTATGTCCCGATAGGCATAATGAATAGCAACTTTTGTGATCCATTTTTGGATCAATATTATACCTACATTTTTATCGTGTAATTGTTGAGTAACTAAACTATTCATATTCATATCCCTCTTATCATGAACTTTATTTTGACCTGTGAACTATTATTATACGATTTACCATTCTTGAATTATACCCTGTCTATTAATCACTACCTCTCACGTTCACAGCCACGTCTGGCTAGCTCTTGTACAAACGTTGTTTCATATTTTATTGCTACGATGTGGTCTGTCTGATTGGTATATAAACCCCGTATGTTTGAAATATATGATTCATATTGCAGAGGCTCGGATTGGTGTTCTGGACTTAACTGACTGGGCTAAACAGGAAGCGGGACCAATAAGGACTCTAGACTGCTCACACGGGTTTACGCGTCATTGATCCGATCAATAAGTCACTGCTCTCTAATTGGAGGTATCGTTACGTTATACATTAACAAGGCACGCAGTCCATAGGTTATAACATGGGTCCAAACCGCCTGGCGGAGGTCAACGTGATTATCATGACCAGTAATTGGAGAGTGAGTGACATGGCTCTGAACCAGTTTCAGTTATCCAGAAGCATACACTCTTTATCTTCTCTTGGATTATATGTTTTATTTTGTGAATTCTCGAATAATATTCTTTATACTTTATCCTCTAATACCTCTTATACTTCCACTTCATCTTCATGTCGTGACTTAGTGTCGCAATGGACATATGCACCATAACTGACTGGCTGGTTATCTTTATTTCCTTCATTCATCGAAAATTTTCTAAGTGGGCAAAGAATCAATTAGTGATAAGTACGCTTGAAATAACAACCTACTCATTTTAAAAGTGTCGAATAAGACTAATATTTTTTTCTTTTTGCAGCAACGAAGTTTTATTGTACAAGATGGATGAAACTTCTGGTGTTCTTAAAATTAAAAATACTCTTCGTATTTCTGGTCGGGAATCATCTTGTTAGTTTCCATTTCAATAATCTTCCAAAACTATGTGTATAAATGTTTTACGATATTTATCTGGTAAACTTCCAACAAATAGTTTAGCATTTTTTCACACGATACATCGTCATGCAGATTAGGAAGTTGAACTGAGCCAACTTACTTTCTCATAATTGTCACACATTCACAGCAGATTTTTTGCTTTTCATCTTAGATACTATCGAGGAAGTAGGTCCTGTTTCAGAGATTTCTTGGTCACCGGATGGATACACTTTGGCTGTTGTTTGGTTACGTTCGGGTTGGTCGTTGTGGTCAGTTTTTGGTGCATTATTATACACCAGCTTAAGTGAGAATCTTAGTCAATTTGGTAAAATAAATGTTTCAAACCTCGTGAGTATTGTGAAACTTTGTTCACTTTTATCGTTGATATCAAATCAATTCATTGTCAGTTCCTTTATTTGTACAGTTGATTCATTCTACTTCAAGCCACATATGGCGTAACTGTTCATTCAAATTTTAATGTGTATTTGAAAATAGTCTTACTACCAGCAGTCATCAGCTCGAGGATGGTTGAAAACCAAGGAACACCATACAGTTATGTTCACATCAGAATAGCGCATCCGATGTCGAACAAATTCAGGAAACTATCTTGGCTTCTTAGGATATTTATATATGAATTATTATGAATAACTAAACGCTTTTATAATGAATAGTCATCAGCTTAAGTTTAAAAACTAATTCAAGGAAACAATTCAACAACAAAGGCCAACTCACAGGACCGATCAGTACTAAAATAGTCGGTTTATTATGACAGGGCGGATAAAAAATGCGTCGACCAATCAAATAGAAGAGGATTGTACAATAAAGTTTCATTTATTTATGTGTATTTAGGAATCCCTAGTCTGACTATGATATCGGACAATAGTTTTACACATTAGTTTTGTTTGCCTCATGTTTTGTTACCTAGTGGTACAAATTAACTTTTGTGTCATAAATCAAATACAATAAAAGCATCAATTTGTGAAGTAACATAAAAAAGTGAGCCGACATGATGATACCGGTATTCTCTTTAAATAAATAAATATGTATATATACATACATGTATATATATGACTTATGTTATGGCTTGCTTTTAGTCCTGGGCTCATCATGGTTATAATATAGTCGGTTTGTTAACCTTAAGCAACGTGACAGAAATTTCCGGGGTCGCAAACACTGACTCCTTTGTTTCAGAAAAGGTCTCCACCAAAGATACTGCAAAAGAAGGGAAGTCACAATTTATTTCCGATGGTCTGGGCTGTCCTTCACAAAACTCTTCATACCTGGTTGTCTTCCATCTGGCTAGGTCTTCAATAACAGCTAACCCAACATCAGTAAGTATAAATAATGTTTTGCTTTCGCATTCAAATAATTATTATCAATTGGTTTTACTAAAGCATATGGACTCTTATCATCTTAACTTTTCATTTGTGTATATTTTTTAACTCTGACTCTATAGCTAGTGCTATACAGATAGAAAATTTCAGTGAGTGCCGAGGATACGAATTTCCGAAATATGTAATTTCGGATAAGGTATAACATCGGCTTTCTCAAAAAAATCTATCTAAATGTTAAATTGCTCTCTCGTTAGTTTTAAACTGATATATGTGTATGCGAAAACAAGTGAAATAACTTGTCAATGAAAATGAGTACTATAACACTAACTACTTTTAATTTCACGTAAGTTTCAGTCCATTTAGCTGTATAAGATCTTCATCACTAAATATCTAACCTCTGATACCTAGGGATGTAGAGTTTTTGTCGAAATGCGAGGTTTCTTAATCTTAAGTCTTACTGATTTTCTTCTAATTGTAGAAGGATCTATTGAATATCTTGTTGAAACTCCTAAGCAAAATGTTTCTAAGACCATACCAAAACATAGTTTTTCAAAGATGGGGACTCATTATCCAGCGCTGTTGTAAAAAATGTTGATGGTGAACTATTTTCCTCGAGTTATCTTAACTTGTATGATGCATATACTTTAAGTTGTTTCCATATTAGTATATTCAAAGCTCAGATCAGCCGTAGCTGCTATCTTAACGTGGTGGTCGGGTTTGCTTATCGTGATGACTACTGAGCTATGTTGGTTAGAACACATGTTCTTTTAAGTCTTACCATAACGAGGACATCAGTTAGAGAAGAGTAAAACTAAAAATGCCAACTAGCAAACTCGAGAAAACCAAACTGATTTCAGAAGTGAACGTGGACGTATAGACTAAATATAAACCCTTCGGTAGATTCTGGAACATAAGCGTTTCCATATCTGACTGTGGTTGTATTCCTCGATCATAAGGTGACATTCGACTGCATTATTTGTGAGGCTCTGTGGCAGTGTTTGTCATTGAAAGGCGTACCAGAGAAGGACATTAATATTGTTCAGGCTCTTTACTAGAACACTTCTGATCGTGACAGAGCTTATGGCAAACTATCATCAAAATTGTTTACTTCAAGTGCTATTTGTCAGAGTTGTCCGTTCTCTTCACTTTTATTTAACCTTGTCATAGACATGCTTTTAGAGATGACACTCGTCGTCTGACTTTTGAGGGGTTGATCTACCGTGAAATTCATTTGTTGACTCAAGTTGATGTAGTTCTGTTTGATGAAGACGCTGGCAAAATACAGTCATTTGACCATCTTAAGCAACAATGCAAGCATGTCTGGTATGCGGTTCTCTCCCTCCGAATTTATAATTTTACCTCCGGATTGGCTTGCGTCATCGCTTGGATTGATGATAAGGAGTGAAGTAGTTGAACGCATCGACCGCTCCACTTATATTGGGAGTCTCATCAGTACTGACGGTATCGTGTCTGGCGAAATCTAGGCACAAATTTAGAAGTGTCGATAGACTTTTGTAAACTTGCATCATTTGCGGCGTGAGATAGTCGTCTGCCAACTAAGGGGAGAGTTTACTGTGCAGCAGTTCTCTCTGTCCTACTTTATGGGTATGGAACATAGCCATTAAGAATAGAGGATATTCGTGGACCACTAATATTCGATCACAGGTGTCTTCGAAGTATCCTACCGAGTAAGCAATGCCTGAATGGAACATTCAAGTAGGTCCTCCGACTCTAGCTGAAGTTAAGAAAGCTTTAGCTAATCTGAAACAAGGAACAGCAGCTGGTCCAGATGGATTGGCTTCAGAGGTCTTTACGGATGGTGGTCCTATTTTTGCGATTAATTTGACTAATATTTTAGCTAAAATCTGGGAGTTAGACGTTATCCCATCTGACTAGTCACAATCACTTATCGTCCCAATATATAAGAAAGGGTCAAAATCATCCTCTGATAACAATAGACGGATTAGTTCAACTAATATAGCATCTCAAATACTAGCCTCAATAATTATCGGACGCCTAACTAAGACTCGAGAACTGCAAACATGAGAGAACCAAACTGGCTCCAGACCTGGTCGTGGCTGTATCGACCACAGATTCACCATTCGTCAGGTTCTAGAACACAGACATGCTTATCGGCGTCCGACAGTGGTGGTCTTTCTTGACCTAAAAGCATCATTTGACTCCGTAGACCGCGAGATTCTGTGGCAGTGTCTGTCATTGAAAGGCACACCTCAGAAGTACATAAACCTTGTGAAGGCTCTTTACTCGAACACTACTAATCGAGTGAGAGCTTATGGCGAACTGTCATCTGCTTTTGCAACCTCAAGTGGTGTCCTTCAAGGCTGTCCACTATTTCCATTTTTGTTCAACTTCATCATAAACATACTGATGGGAATATCATTCTCGTCGACTGGTTTTTCAGGCACTGATCTCCTACCAGGAGGTACACTTATCGACTTAGAATACGCAGATGATATAGTTCTGTTTGGTGAAGATGCTGATAAAATGCAGAGTCTTTTGGTAGCACTGAGCGACATGCCAGAATGTTTGGAATGCGCTTCTCTCCCTCTAAATGCAAGTTGTTGCTTCAGGACTGGTCTGCGTCAACACCTGAACTAAGGATAGGGAGTGAAGTATTCGAACTCATCGACAACTTAGGTTATCTTGAAAGTCTGATCAGCGCAAACGGGTTGGTGTCTGACGAAATCGGTGCACGCATTCAAAAACTCTTTCGGCTTTTTCCAACTTATATCACCTTTGGCGAAGGCGAGATATCCGTCTATCAATTAGGGGACGAGTATACTGCGCGTCAGTTCGTTCTGTTCTACTTTACGGCTGCGAAACGTGGCCACTAAAAGTGGAAGTTATTCTTAAGCTACTAGTATTTGACCACAGGTGTCTTATAAATGTTTCACACAGCTGCTGGGATCATCGGGTAAGTAGTAGTGAGTTTAGACACAGGGTGCTAGGGAATAATGGCAAGTCAGTCGATGAGGTTGTTAGTCTTCATCGACTAAGATGGTTGGGCCACGTGTTGCGTATGCATGAACACCGATTACCACGACGCGCAATGCTGACTAGTTTAGGGGATGGTTAAAAGAAAGTTAGCGGCGGCCAAACCAAAACGAGTCACTAACTTCTAGTCTGAGCCATGTTGGTAAATGCAGACTACTTGGTTGGGGTCCGCGTGACTATCAAAACCAATGGTTGGAGACTCTGGTTGACATGACTCAGAATCGATCACAATGGTGTATACATTCTCTATATTCCCTTAAACTATGAGATTAAAATCACTTCATATCTTGCTTTCTACGAACTAATTCTTCATTCCTGTACTATGTCCTTATATGCAATCTTTCTTTTGTGTATTACCACCACTGAATTAACCACTTCTATGAATTCGGTATTCATCTTGTTGTGCTAATGAGGTATGGCAACTTTAACCGATGCATATATGTGCCTGGTCCTACGTTTTAGCTGACTGAGCAATGCTTGGATCAGGAATATGGTACTAGATAAGGATGGAGAGTCAATTAATGGGGTAGTAAATCTTCATCAACTGAGGTGGTGGTGGTTTACTAAGCTTTTTAATGAACCCGGGCTAACTCTACGTGAGAGAAAAGGTGTGAAATATGAGAATATCGCTCTTCTCTAAGGTTTATTTTTGTACAGAAGAGTTAAGGTATTTATAGCATTTCAGATGGCCTTGGGTTTCTGGAAGGTCCTAGCACCCTACTAAACATTGTAACAAGATAGGTAGCCGTCCAATCAGTAATGTGACACGTGACTCTTCACTTTCTAGATGTTTCTCGGAAACTTCTATCGAATGCTGATTGAACGAAAAACTCTTCCGGCGTTTTCATGGTCCCTCTGGGCTTCTTTTCGAGAAATATTCTGGATTTACCCAGTCCGTCATCTACAACGTAGGAACAGGCACATATATTCATCGGTCCAAATTGCCATACCTTATTAGCACACGTGGCCTAACCATCTCAGTCGATGAAGATTCATAACCTCATCAACTGATTTACCACCATTTCCTAGTATCATGCGTCTAACCTCACTATTACTTACCCGATGATCCCAGCTTATGCGAGCCATATTTCTAAGACATCTGTGGTCAAATATTAGTGGCTTACGAGTATCTCCCCAACGGTTGGGACATATGATACGTATCCCTAACCACCACGTACCCCAATGGGTGATATTTTCTGGTGTAGGATTAGGTTGAACGGAAACTAGTAATGGCCAAATCAAATCTTCTCTTGGATCTTAAGTTTTTAAATTCTTAGTAATATTTTTATTTCACATATTTATAATTCGTTAAATGGTATTGTTATGTGTCCTACTTATACGGACAGATATCAGTAGTATGTGTCAGTTATTCGTGGTAGAATTCTTACTTACGGAAGAGGAAAACGAAGAGAAGTGAAAGAAAAACAGAAAGTAAGTGAAATAACAACAGGAGTGGAAGAACTATGCAGTTTGAAAGGTGCAGTTTAAGGAATACTTGCTAATAGTGTATTCAATGCATCGTTTTCATATTTTACAAAGAAACCGTAATTTTGCCCTACCCAAGTCTTTGTGGATAATAATATCTTCGATGCCCAATCTTTTATATTACCAAAAGTAGTGTTACTACCTGTATTACTATGGGATTAGCTCTAACCATTTCGTCTCCCTGTGCTAGACAGGAGGAATGAAATTCACAGCGACCTTCACACGTACTAAGTTCTACGTTGCGTTTGACTGACGGGTTGACTTCATAGTTAGTATCAGAAACACATTCCTTCTTTCCAAAATACTAATTTATCTAATTGTAGAAAATATTGGAAAGTATCATGTTTATGTTAATACACTACTAACATTTGCGGAGTTTTCTATGTGGAATCAAACTCGATAGTGTGCATAATTTATTGTTATCATTGTGACCCACATAGTGTCTCATGCAGGTGGGGAAGGTAGTATGGTAATTTTATCATCAAACGTTTTCTGTTTAAAAACCACTCATATTTACCATTACTTATTTCTTCGTTTAGGTTTTAATTCACGATGATGATACCCACTTTGACTGCAAATTAGTGCATTTGGTATGGTGACGTTGAGTCATGTTTTCAAGTGTCGTCTGTTAAATCAGCTGGAAAAAAAGGAGGTATACAAAGCAACGGATCACTAAATAACGTGAAACAATCCTTCAAACATCAGTAGAATGTTGCGTAATGATTAAGGTGTTTAAGAAGAATATGGGTATAGAAATAGTGTATGGGTCAGAAATATGGGCGATAATTGTCCAATTAACAGAAAGAAAAAAACAAAGGTCATAATAACAATCTATCAATAATAGTAATAAAATGTTAGAGACTAATAACTGATTACGGTTTAAGAAGTAAAAAATGGTACTGAGAACCACAATATACTGGGCAAGGGAATTAAGAACGTGGGAGAATGGGAGGTTAGACGCAGAGTTCGGTCTTGAATCAGAGAACCCCACAATGCTTCAGCACTGCGTAGGGTTTTGATACGACCCTCGATTTATCCAATTGTTTTGACTGTGAAGTTTATTTTTAAGGACGATTCTTTAGCTCAGTATCTTCAGTGTTAATCAGTGCTTTTGTACTGAGATAGCGATAGTTTTTCATTCCTCTTTTAAAAGGCACACTGGGTAGTGTTATGAAATGGGTTTAGGGTGTGTCTGCTTTACGCAACCAATGTAACCTACCCCACAGGAGCAAGTAAACTTATATGTACATTTCTTCTTTATATCTGTTTAGTGGACAATTATCTCATATTTCTGAGTTTTAAATTACTTCGATCCTCCTATTCTTCTCTGGCCTTTCAATCATTGGAAAACAATCTTTGTTAAAAGCTATGTGGATCAATCATTTGTGAATATTTGGATTTCATTTAATTATCACTTCATTCGTTTTTAGATAAGGTATGGATTTACTTAGTATGGTTTATGTTGTAAAAAATTGTCAGTTTCGGACATGTAGCTAGAATAATCAATAAACGGTTTTTCTGTCTATTTGACGATGGCAAATGACTGTGATTGCTACCCAATGAGCGATTATGGTCAGTTCTCTTAAATAAACTTATTCTCTACCTTTGCTGATTTACGGTTGTCAGAATTCAGAAATCTCATTGAGAAAGGTTAGTGTTCTTTACAGCAGGGTTAATAAGCTATCTTAATATTTCATTTTATTTCTTTTTATCTCAGGATAACCATTTGCATATCGTTCTTCAAACTACTGACCGAATAATTGTGACGAACAAGGATCTATTGACCTCTAGAATGCAAACCGAGAATTTATTAATCCCAAAACAATATATCAACTCTAATTGGCCAGTTCGGGTAATTGCAAATCACCATTGCTTTGCATTTTATATTCTAATCACTCTGTCTTATACAAATTATCGTTAACACAAGCACGATTTGATTTGTGTCTTTAGAAACCGCTCACAAGTAGTATTATAGGGAATTGACCGGATAGGAAAAGGTTTCGGAAAAGAAAAAATCTAACAGTAAATGAATATAGCTGTTTCGCTGCTAATTGTTCGTAACTTAAGTATTCTGTCTCTCATGTATATCAGTAGCTTGCAAGTGCTTTGGAAATTTTGGAATGTAAGGGTAAGCTTAATAACGTGATACGGACGTTTCAATATATAACGTGGAAACCCAATAACCTTTAATATTTTTATTGAAATGAAAATTTCCTGAGTATGGTGAAAATGTGTTGGTTTAACTCATATGAAGGTAAATTGGTACTTTTTCCCGCTAGTCGACTGACCTTTTTATCATAACAAAACCTCAGAGAATATGCTCCGGTCAATATATCCCTCTTTTGTTATTACGATAGGTAATTTCAACCACCAAATCAATGTGACCTTGTGGGCCAAAGGCTCGGGGTGTGGCCTCCTAAGAAAATCACTTACTTCGGTCTGGGCACCCGGGCACTATCACAGCCCACATACAAATCAAGTGACATATGTATTCAGTGCCCCTTTATTCCAATTTTTATATGTTCAAATAAATAATATATTCAGAACTATCACTATATCATGTTATCCTTATTTAAAACTAAGTCTGTTTTTAAATGTGCGTTGTAGTAGAATGTCTTCGAGATAATTCTTAATGCTTCATATATCACTCGTTTTGACAAAAGTTATTAGATATCTCAACTCTCCAACGGTGTACAAATTCCAGAAGACAATGCGAAACGTTGATATGGTTTAATTCTAGTCACCATCCATCATTGCTTATGATACTTGTGACTTAAGGCAATGTCGAGGCAATCCGGACAGGATGCACATATGCTAATAAGAGACTAATCAATTGCAGTTTTAAACATCAATCAGAAGATTCAAACAAACAATCCAGAATGAATTTAATAGTTATATTTCAAATAATATTATGGTTACTGGTGCTACATTACCCTTTAGGTGTATCGAAACTAGTGACGGATCCTGTTCTTCAAGACACGTCACGCTTGAATCGCAAATAACTGCTGTAGACTAAACCCTTTTTATCTATTTGTTCTTCCTTCGTTGTGGGAATTAGCTTTTCTGTTTTCTTTTTTTTAGTATGTTGCTGTTTCTACAGATGGTAAAAAAATAGCCGTTTCAGGTCGCAATGGATTTATTCATTATAACACTGATTCACAACGTTGGCATGTTTTCGGCAATATAAAGCAGGTAAATCAAATAATGTACATTGCCCTTTATCATTTTTATCGTTACCAATGAAAATATTTTGTCGACGTTTAACTCCTTTTTACCTGGATCTTTGAAATTAGATAATGACATTTATAGGCTTACTGTATGAGTAAATAGTTGCGAATATTGACTGTCGTATCAAGCTTCATCGTTCAGTGGGAAGAAAGTTGTCCCAAGAACTACTAGGTTTGTGTAACAGATTAATTTGCAAAGTATTATATCTTCCTAAGTGCGCATTGCTTCTTAAATTGCTAACTGTACCCAGCCTACTACTGCATTTTATTAGATTGTCAGAATTTGATTACTTACATTTTTAGTACTTAACACATAAGCTTATTTTCAGCTTTTCAGTTTTTGAATTTTTATTGTTATTACTCGTCTTGTAAAGAAGTACGTAGTACATAAATCTGAAGTGACTAGAAAATACAACGAAAGTGTTCATTACCTAGGGAATATCTCGAATTTTCTTGTTTAAGATTGCCATACCTGTTTTTTTTAGTTCTAACTAACTGCTCGTAAACATTTAATCTCGAGAAACAACTGTCGTTTTTTATTTAGATTTCCTATGATCATATACTTTATTTGTTACTTTTACGTCATTTTATGTCGTAGGAAAACTCCTTACACGTCTTTGGAGGTATGGCATGGTGGAAACAATATATTTGTCTCACCTGTTTTACAGAAAATTATGGTACTAGTGAGGTATGTTGAGTTCAATGTTTCTATTTCATACTTTAGTCAATAACTTGCTGTGGAATGAAACAAATCATGCATTTTCAAACGAGCATAGCTTTTCATGTATAGTGTGAACGGTTTCTTTCAGAAAATCCCGGTATCAAACACTGTCAATTACATTTGTCTAACAAAACATGGTCCTTAAGTTATTTGTCGTTTTCTAGGTTTTGGAGTTTTGTAAAGCTTAGTTTTTCGGAAGTAACGGTACCGAATACAGTAAATGTTTCACTGTGAGGATTCAAAGTATAATAGCCGGTATTTTTAGCAAAACAATTTTGTGTTAAAATGTACTGACTCGTTTGAAGAAGTGCAGTAACTCTCTATTGATTACGGATGTTTGTTGACGGATAAAGGCGAAACAAATTGGTATTGCCATGTAATTCATGTCGATTACAACAATTTGACAAAGAACTAATTTTTCACTGTTGGTTTTATAGGTTCCATGTAAACCAACACCATCAGGGTAACGGTTCGTCAAGTTCGTTTGGTCCGCAATTGCAACTCATTTCCTTCATCCAGTCGTATACTCATCGCATCCTCCGAGCAAAATTATATAACCTCTGAGTTTTTCATAACTTCCTGTATTCTATTCATCAAAATAGCGACATTATTTACCTGGAAGATGAGCCTGAGAAAATGCTTTATGTCTCAAGTTGAACACATCATGTGAATACCGGCGCTTCCTACATGATGACTATACATAGTCACCCAAATGCATGAAACCTAAAATCGGTAGAGGTCTGACGGATTTGAACTCTGATTTCATTAGCTTCCACATCCATAAAATATCGTAATAAGCCAAAGAATTGCGTTTATGGCTGTGGTTCACGTTTCCACGAATTACAGTCCAATACTCATCTATCTCTTTAGAAAATATAAAATCTGGGTCAATAAATTTAGGTGAAGCTCTAGATGATACAGCATCATAAAATTTTTGCCTCTTCTGGAGACAACTAGGAGCTTTGAGACCACTTAAACTGCATACAAACTTCACATACAGTTCCTGATTCTGATGGGACTTGGAATCACGAATGGCAAAACGTTGCGTGTTGAAATTCTCTGACTGTATTGTTGAGCGCTTCCAGCGACAGAAGTGCTCTTGTATAATTTGTCTGCCTACTAGCATTCCATTTTGCTTGTTTTACTTTGGTATATCTCTCTTGTACGTTTTACGCAAAAATGAGACCCTTCTCATCTTTATCTGAAATTATTTCGGAGTCAACAAATAATGCAGAGGTATGTATTCTGTACATCGCAATAATGTGTGTACAAAATTTTACTCTGTTGCTATATTGGCCTTCTACAATATTTTAATATTTAAAAACTGTAGGTTCGTGTCTACTCGTCGGACCATAAACTTGACAATCAATTTAGCTCCATCTGTGATCTTCCATCCCTTACATTACCCGTCATTGTAGACAATTTCGAAAATCTGTTTCTTGTACTTACCAACGATGGATGTCTGCAAATCTTTGGTTTATCAGAGTCTGTTTCCAGTAAAAGTTAGTTTTTTTTGGAAGCTAATCTTGTTACATTTTAACTTGTTTTGCTGTTGTCTCTGCGTTTTAGAGGCTGATGTGTAAATTAAGATCCCATCATGTCAGATTAATAGATTGCAGAGCGATAATACCCAACCATAGTAAACTTCAAGTTTAAAGGCAAATTTGTGCTCTTAGCTGTTCTGGAGTGTGATGACAGTAAGGTATTCAAGAGTAACTTCTTCAGCATCTCTGCCTTCCTACAAACAGGTGAAGAGTTTGGAAAGCTACACACGTTTCCTTGCCGTACAGATTTCCTGTTCCTCTGGTTTGGAATTAATAATAGAAAAGTAACCATTCATAAAATGTGCAACTGACCTCAGGAAGTTACCTTTCGTGTTCATTCGTCATGCATTCATGTCGATGATGCTACCAATATTAAGACGCAACATTCTTCTGGTGTATGTATATTTTTCGTACTTCTGTATTCCTCAGACGGGATTCAAATGATCTCAATCAGCGTGAACTAGTTCAATTCACTCTTCGACATCTAGAGAGATGTTAATAACTCAGCTTCAGTGGTGTATATGCAGCACTAAGCTCAGAAGCAGACTAGCGTTCCTGGGAATAGGTATCTGGGTACAATCGTTTGTACGCCATTTCGCGGAATGGAGTTGTAAGAACTTCGAAAGAGGGAATACATGCCGTTATCACTTCTCAGTCACTGCTTACTTCCACACTAACTACAACCCAAATTAATTTGTACATTATTGTTTATACTGAAAGCTTTCAACCCTTTTCTCCAAAATTAGTTGCTTCGATGCAGTGATTTAAAAATACCTAGATACTTAGGCTAAGTCAATCTGTAAAGCATTTAGGTATTGTTCCTAGCGTTTTAGTTCAGATAACAGATGACTATGATCGTCTCCTGAATCTATTCTCGTACAATCGTCAATTCATAACACAGATTTACGGTGACTATCTGCGTCATTGTACAACTTAGTAACCTTGGATAATAACATAACAGTGGAGACTACTTTTCAATTCTGAAGCATGGTTTTAATCCTTGCTACTCTGTTTTACGGATTTTAAAAAATACAAGAAAGTTAGATAAAAAAGATTTCCTGCAGATCAGTCAAATAATGATAATGCCAGGTGCATTTTTTTAGTAACAAATTAGATATATAATCAACCGTGAAAGTGTTGAAGTAGTGCATGCCCCGCACTATGCAAGCCATCTGATCCTGTAGCATCAACACATACTTTTAGACCTGCTTACTACATACCAGTTCCTAAACCATAGTGCAGATTACCTGGTCGGTTCTCTATTGTTGTTGGTAATTCTATGATATATATATATATATATATATCTGTTGTGTCATCTAATTAGGACTTAATAATCTCACACCAAATATAAGAAACCTCTTTTGCAGTTCCACATAGTCCACATTTTATTTATGCTTAGTATCACATTTCTACAAAGTTGTCTTTATTATTCCATCTGGCTTTCTTTCTATATAAGATCATTTCGTTCAATTGATACTGAAACCTTTCAGCCAAAAAATTTACTTCTTGCTTATTCTATTTTCTCCACTTATCTCATTTAACACCAGTCGGAGTCTTCTAAAGGTAAAAATATAATCAATGTCTTACTTTTTAAATTTAACCGTTTTTGTTCCTTCGAAAGTGAAAAGTTTATTCTGTTTTAGTTTATGGTTTACAGTTTTTTGTGTAACGTTCATCTAACACTCATGCCTTAATTTTCATTATTTTTCCATACGCTTTTGCCAAATATATTTTTCTTCATCATAGGCACTGTCACCGTATCTCCTTTCAAGGCTGTAAATTTAACAGATATTGTCATATTTCCAGCATGTGTTGTTCGAATTTGCTTTACAACTTTAAAGAGTAATGCACGTAAGTCTAAAATTCTCTCCTTTTGGCTTCGTTTACTGAGTTTTAAGGCTTTTTTACAGATCGGATTTTGCATGAGATTAAGGAAAGTTCGTGAATAAATCAGTTTTTTGTTTATATAAATGATTTGTCAGTAGTTATGATTAGTTAGGACGGTTTTTTGTTCATCATCTCATTAATAATAACCATTGAAGATGTATAACCTAACTTTGGTTATCTTTCAAAACGTTTTCCAGCTTTTACTCGTACAACCACTTCAGGATCTAATTTGTTTCGTAACTTCGACCCAGGTTTATGCTCAGTTGAAAGCTTAGTTATGAATTATTCCGGTGATGTGTTTATGTTGCAACGTTCGTTTTTGGATTTCACTCCGAAAAGCCATTCTGGAACCCCTGAGGAAATTAACCAACAGGTAATTCAAACATCACTCATCTTGAATATAAAGGAAAAAAATACTGGAATTAAGTAATTTCATTTCTTGTATGGTAATGGGTTTACATATTCACAAATTTTTATTAACTACAGGGGAAAATGTATCATATGTTTAAGTCCCGTTGTACAAATTGTAAGTGCTCATAACTTTACTAGTCACATAGATGTATAGCTTAATGTAAAAGAAGGTCAATCACAAAAAACAAAAGTGGATAATGTATAATGACAGTGATAGTAATAAAAATTGTCTTACCTAAAGAGAATCTATGTCATAAACTCAAAGTTTTCGGATAATACGGAACCTCTATAAGTCCATCGAACCAAATCTTAAGTTTCTGACATCCGGTTCGTCACTGAATTTTCTCAGACTAGGTCGAATCGATTATGGTATAACGTTTGGTTCTCAGTTGTTCACTAGTTAGTATTAGTCGGTGATTAAACTCGCCTGTCTTTGTTGTTTTTAGACAGATGATGATTGTCGCTTAAGAGATAGTCAGTGTTCTTTTAAACGTAGTAGAAATTGAGAATTAATTATTCCAACAAACTTCCACACACACCACTTAACCTCTGAATCCCAATTTCGAATTCCCTTCACCTACTAAGGCTCTATCATAGGAGCGTCACTGACTCTCATATCTAGATTGTAACTCAATCTCGAATACATGAGTCTGTATTTGATAAGTCAGTTACATTGTACACATTATTACTAACTTGTTATATTTTGTAGTCTCATTCTCAGATTAATTAAACATCAAGTATTGGGACTTTGAAAGGGATTTCAACTGACTAGTAGCAGATTCCTAAATGTTCTTAATATTAGGAATGAAGATCCATTTGTCTATCCGTTAAAGTGTCCAGTTATTCTCGATATAATTGGACCTAATGTTTCCAAGTCCGTAAAACATCAGTTCCCTAAAAGATTTGGGACTTAACCTTTCAGCTTTCCTTGAACTGTTGTTCAGCGTATTCCTAAATGTGCTTCATTTTGTATCTAGTTATATATATAATGTTCATTACCATTTGTTTGCGCTAAACTATTATTATTTCTCTTTTAAGAATATGGTTGTTTTCGATCAGTTACTATCATTCGGAACACCTTTATTAGTTGCTTCTGAAATAGAAATTCTATGGTCTACAAGCTGTTTCACAACAATCACTTCTCAGGCTGATAATGATCGTTTATCGTCATTGAATGTGATTGATGCAAATGCTTATACGAAAGACTCCTTGTGGCTTTATTCTGGAGCAACTGGACTTAGTGTTTGGCTTCCACTACCGCAAGTTCCTTCTTCGCTTGCATTTAGTTTTAATTATGAATCTGTGAGGTCAGATACCAACCACAAATTTAGTTCGGATCACGATAGTTCATCGGTCTTAAATTATGATTACCGAAGAATAATGTTGTCATTTGAGTTGGGTGGTGATTTGTACCCTCTTAGTGAGTTAAATTGATAATCTATTGTTATTGTCTTTTTTTTCGAAACTCATTTTACTTTTAGTTTGTGTCACCGATGGTTATGTTGCTTGGTTTTTAGTCGTATATTAATTGTTTGAATGCAATGTAATTATGTTATTTGTTTCCGTTTGATTTCGTGATATTATGTCGCTAGTGTTCTTTTAGTAGGTGTCATTGATATTGGAGCAATTCTCAGTGCTCCATCAACTGTTTTTAAAACAAAGTGATGTTACCTGTTAATTGGTATCAATAGTGCGTTTTGAAACTAATATCCTGATGGGTATCCTTGTTGGTTGCGTTTCATTCAGTCACAATTCAAATCAGGTGTGATATCTCGAATAAGTCTGAAAGTACTATGGCATACAAAGTTTTAATTATTCCATTTAAAAGTGCAATTAGGTTCCTTTGTTACCTATCCCAGTCGTTAAAAAGTCAATATACTCTTGTTAGAATCACATTGTGAAATCTTGAAATCGGTAGTTACTAATCATGTAATTATCATTCAGGAGTAAGCAACCAAGACATTTCATCCCCGTCTAATTTCCAGCTATACACGTTAAGTAATTCTCATACTATCGTAGTTCTACTCGGTTTTCATGGACGTCCACACTGATAAGGGTGGTAAATTTCGTATCATAGTGCTTAGATTTCTTCTAACTGGTTTCATAGGTCATCTATCCTCTACCCATCAAGAATGTCATTCAAGTTTGTAGTTTGTTTGTTAGTTACAATTCAGGATCAGGAAGTCGAATGTCGGCTGGAAATCGGTACTGGTGTTTATAAATCTTAAATATTTTCCGTCTCGTCCCTAATGACCTGCTTCGGTTTGGGTACCCGGGCAGTATTCCAGCCGTCACACAAATCGAATGACGAAGTGTGGCTCCATATATATCAGGTGCCTCCTCGTACCTATGTTTATGTATTTAGATGGATAATAAATAATTACTCATTCTTTGGTTTCGATACCAAGTTATTCTTTGATTTTTACCTTGGGTTGTCTCGAATAAAATGTAATGCCTTCATGATCTCTATTGGACAATATTTCATCAGGCTTCTAAATAATTCTAATTTAATTGAAAATCCTCGATTAAATTTTCTAGTATCATATAATCGTAGTCTATATTTATTGATTTGAGTTTCACTATGAGTATATTCATTTTTAGGTATTTGCTTTCAGGAAGGCTTGCTAGTCGGTGTTCTTAATGAGTTTCATCGTTGCTGGAACAAGTCATTGGTTCATTGTAAGGAAGATATATCTTCAGATTTATTCGCGCTATTTCCTTGTGGAACTTTGTTAATTAAGGTTAAGTCGAATAAATTTTTCGTATCTATTTGATTCGACGTATTTTGACTGTTTTGCATTGTCGTGCTTAGGTTTAAGGATAGTTGTGATAATATTTCTGGTTACGGAAGACTTTCAAAATGCTTTTGTTTTGTGCTTTCTACTTCCCACACAAATTTCCATTAATTTTGTTAGCCACTACAAATAAACGCTATTCAAAGTGGACAATTTATCATCCTTTCTTATTCTAAGTGACTGGTCAATCTTATTGAAATAAACTAATACTTAACAATCTGACTGCTTTGTCGATCCACCGAATTTTAGTAGCTTGTTCTTCCGTATGTATCGAAATATGATTGGAAATTCCCTACTTTTTTCTTAGTATTGTAATACAGGAAGATTCTTTCCGATAAAGATTGGTAAAATGAATAATAAATATGGAAAACATTATAAGCGATGGTCTTATGGTTAGGTTCAAAGGTGTAAAAGTACTAAAAAGTCTATAAAAAGCATTTAATCAACTAACTGAAAGTTACATAATAACACAGAAAAAGATTGAATATTGGATTAACATGAGTCAAGTTAGCATAAAACACAAAATAGAATCAAGAAAATGAATGTATAGTCGCGAACACAAAGACACTAAGTAGCTAAGTGTTTGAATGCATTTGTCTGGCCTTTTTCTATCTATGCTTTCGACAAAATTTAGTAGTAAGTTTGAAATCACTTGCTTATTGATAATTCTGAAATGTCAACATCGCGTTGACTTTCAGTTAGATCACAGGTGATCACACCGCTAAAAGCATTTTAACCTCTAAGATTCGATTTCTGAGGAATGTGATCGGAGATGTGATCCATAAATCCTTTTATTTTTCCAAGATATGCGCTTCGGGACATGTAAACTGGTAAACATAATTGCAGGTAATGCTGGGCCAGAAGTTTGTTAGATACAGGAGAACCAGTTGAGCGAATGGATAAATCCTTTTTAATACAGCCCCTAGTCTTAACTCGATTTAATAGGACATTACATCACTTTTGAGGCTAAGTCTTATAAAAACAGGCTTCTGAAAAGTGACTTATTCCTTTCCCTTTGTTCTTGTCATACCGTATTTGCGGGTAACATTCTTTCCTTTTATTCTGTCACCTAAAGTACAAGTAACTTAATTTCTATAGGTTTCTCGACTGTAATTCTCACAGATTCTTCTATTAATATACGTTCATAAGAAAACCATTTTGAGTTGCGTAAAAACGCGGGTACTGTTGAATTAAGTATTTCTATATAATTAAATAACAGTATTTTACTGACTTTTATCCTGTCTTGACATTTGAATTCCTATGTGTGCACCGAAGTGAGTTAAGAGTTCACCTATACGTTATTGAATGAGTGATAATCAATCGCATATAACTTTGTTTCACATCTATGAAACAATATGTAGACTCACTTGTGTTAAACATTCCTATGTTTCGCGATTATCTCGCCTTTTTAAAACAGGAAATAAATTGTACTACCCATAAACTGATAGGCGTTTCTTTTATGTATTTAATCTGTTCATTCCTGGCTATTTCTTCCTCTCATATTTTCGATTTCGTTCGTTTGGTTCACATTTTTCCCTGTGCTGTCAGTTTCCATGCTAATCTATTCAGTATATTATACATGACGTTCGAATTCGTTGAACATTCTTTTTTTTCAGATTCAGGTAGCACTACATCATATTATTCGACAGCTTCTTAAGAAAAAGTAAGTTGTTTTTATCTAAAAATTCAATTTTTATTCTTTTTGTTGTAAAACAATCATTGCACATAGTTTGCGAAACTACTTAAAAGTTATGGTTAAATGACATGTCCTTTAAGTGGTCTGATATCCGTGAAGTTCTTTTAGAACCTAATCCCATAACTTTTAACAGGGTGATAATTTCGACATGGGAGGCAGTCACAGAGCGGTTGATCGCGGAGTTCGACAGTCCAGTGACAGGAAAGAAGCACTTCAGAAGTTCCGGTTGGCAATCGATGGTGACCCACTGGTACTGACTGTGGAGCTTACCAGGTCGTTGCACCGCGCGTCACGAAATCTGGGTGAGGAGTCGGGAGCACAGTTGTTGGCGTCGCAATTTATTAAAAGCGTGCCTGTCACCGTTTCCCAGCAGCTGAACCTAATAAACACCTCACAACCTATGGATATCAGTGTGCTAGCGAAGATGACTCGATCGGGTGCGGAAGTCACGAAATAAACTGTATCAAGAAGATTGAGGAGCTGCAGCATGAGATTGCCGCGATACGAGTGAATCGTAAAAGAAATGATAAGTGTCACGCTTGTGGAGGGAAAGGAAATCGGAAGATAAACTGTCCAACAAGACGAAGACGCATATATTTTAGAAGTTATGACACGTGTTTCTTTCTACCTTAGGAATCTATGGGTTGTTGCACTAGTAAATAGAGGGGCAATCTACACAAAATGAACATAAGTGAACGAGATTTAGTGTGTCTGATCGATGCAGGTGTAGCAGTATCGCTAATACGCAAAGAGCAATGTAAGAGACTCAAGCCATCTGCATTAGCAGTTCACACGATAGGAGGGCACATATTAAAGGTTTTAAGCGTGTCTAACAGTATCGTAAAATTGGATGATGCTGTTATAAATTCCCCGTTCGTAGTAACCACAAGCCAGCCTATCGAGACCGATATTAGCAGCAGTTTTCCTGAGAGAGGTAAAATCATTAGTTGACTTAAGAAGCAGTAAGGTGGTCACAAAGTACGATTCATTCCCAATACGTGAAAGTGGCTGAGGATGGCTACAGACGTTTCGATGAAAAAAACAAACATCAACGAGTTGTGCACAAAGTATACGAAACTGTTCGCTGGAGACGAAGAGCCGTACGAATTTTGTGTCTAAGTAAAGCACGAAATCCCGATAAAAAACAATCGAATATATATATTTGCAATACGTCTTGTCCCTGTGCTTTTACAGGCTGAGGTAAATCGACAGGTCCAGGAGATGTTGAAAGAAGGTATAATTGAGCAAGCGGACAAACCGTATAGCTTGCCGGTACTCTTGGTAAAGAAACCAAATGAAAGTATTAATTTTGTGTCGATTTTAGAGAACTGAAATCTTGTGCATTGCTAACAGTTGCGGAAACATTAGATCGGTTGCTGAATGCTACGGTGTTTACAGTGCTGAATTTGCAGTCAGGTTATTGGCAACTGTCTATAAAAAAGAGTGATCTAAACAAGATAGTGTTTACTGTACGTGATAAACAGTATCAATTTACTAGTATAGGGATTGTGGAGATTATTAAGTTTTTGACTAAGATCATGAACCGATTGATGGTAGACCATCACAATTGAAAACCTGAAAGCATTGAACGGCCGTTTCGTCCTATTACGGGACTCCTCAGGAGTGCGCATCCACGATCCCGCGGGCAGGGTTCGAACCCAGGGCCTTCGGTCTCGCGCGCGAACGCTTAACCAACTGGACCACTGAGCCGGCATCCAATGGTGATAGTTTCTAACATCAACCAATCCACGAAATTGCGCGACCAACTTCCATTGTACTGAGGTAGATACCTGTCTCTACCCGACAAGGATTAGCTCCACTGGTCACGGCTTCTCATTAGAACTCCGAGAATTCCCTCACGAAGCTAGTCACTAGTGAGCACATGTTGATTACTAGTATAGGGATTGTGGAGATTATTAAGTTTTTGATTGAGATCATGAACCGATTGATGTTTCAATTTAGACTAATGCCGTTTGCGTTCAGAAGAATTATGAGTGCTGCTCAGGGATATAGTTAACGTCGAGGTGTATGGCGACGTTTTAGATGTGTACAGCCATACAGAAACAGATCACGTCAAGCATGTGGAAGCGGTCTTAAAGCGAATTGAGGAATTCGGACTTTGAATTAATAAGAACCATTCTCAGATAGAGAAACATACCGTCACGTTGTTGGGGCATATAGTGGGGAATGGAGAAATAAAACCACTGCCGGAGAAAATTCTGACCATAAAAAAGATTGCAGTACCTTATTCGAAAAGGAAATTGAGACAGTTCCCGGAAAGGGCGGCATTCTACAGTCGGTTCGTCAAGAACTTCAACGAAATAACAATACCCCTATATAAGTTGTTGAGCAACACTAAGTTTACGTGGACGAAGACTGTCCAACAAACGTTCAACCGAATAAAAAACATTCTAGACGACCGCCAGATGAAGCTCAGACTGCCTGAATCAGAGAAACCGTCTTCAGTGGCCACAGACACAAGTGATCATGGTCTAGGTAACGTCTTGAGCCAGTCTGATTGAGTGGTGGAATATGCGAGTCGCGTTCTCACACCCGCTGAACAGAAGTATTCAGCGATCGAAAATAAGTGTTTAGTAACCGTGTGGGCAGTAGAAAAATAGAGATCGTAACTTTTAGGTAGACGATTCCACATCGAGACTGATCATGAACCCCTGTAGTAGCTGAAAACAGCAAGAGACCCCGTGGGAAGTTGGCGCGATGGATAATACGTCTTCAAGAGTACGACTTCGGTATCGGCCATGTTCCAGGAAAGGAAACAGTAATGGCGAACTACTTGCCAAGACCAGTCATAGAAGCCGAGCTTCCATTGACAGCATGCGCAATAAATAGTTTAGAGGGAGACCCACTAGAACTTGTCCAACAGCAGAAAGCTGACCCTAAGCTTCGAGAGGTAATCAGAGTGATAAAAGAGAAAGCAAATATCGACAAACGAACAATGGACAAAGAGGTAATAATGTTGCTTCGGCAAAAGTAAAAACTGAGGTTGGACACATGTAGCCCTAATCTGGCAGGACGACGACAAAAATTTGGTGTCCGTGATCCCAAAGAACTGGCGACGTGAGATGATACATAAGTGTCGCCAGGTATCGCAAGAACGACGGATTTACTACGACAAAGTGGATACTGGCCAGGCATGAGAGACGATGCAGCCCTGATGTGTGGGTAAGACTGATAATGATTAGTTGTCTGCTTAGTCAGACATGTAGATAGTCTGACAGGTGTCAGATGAGTTATATATTCCCCTATCCTTATTATTATTATTATGACGCACTTATCATTGATTGTTCATTGTTGTTGGATTGTGTCGGGTTTTTAGTGTGGAAATATATTTACGTTGTGCTCAGGCTAATTACGTGTTCTTGATCTGAGTTGTGTTGAAGTCCTGTAGAATAGACACTGGGAGGGAATCTAGTGTAGATAATCGTTTAAGGTAAATTAACGTGCCATACATGTAAACCCAACCGTTATAACATTAGACGAAGTAAGACCGAGCGTTATAACAGGCCCAATACGTGTTAACTTGTCAGCAGCGCCAACTAATGAAAAGCTATCGATACACACACCCGCCATTAGAGTCAATCCCGGTAACTGCTGTGGGTGGATGTGATGGACCGTTTCCACAGACGTCAAGCGGTCATCAGTACCTGCTAGTGATGACGGAAAATGCTACACGGTGGATAGACACCGTACCCATTGCAGACCAGCGGGCATAAACAGTAGTAGTAATAGTAGTAATCCGATATATTGTAGCGTGTCACGGAATACCGAAGATGATATCAACCGACCAGGGTCTCTTTTGGAAGTGACGAGTTTAAAGCCCGTCTAAAGCAGTCTGGCATCAAGAGGATACGAACTACACCGTATCACCGTCAGGCGAATGGGCTTACACAAAGAAACAACCTAACGTTAATGGAATTGTTAGCCTCTATATGAGGAAAATTGTGAGGAAGCGTTACTATTGATTTTGCTGGCGCATCGTGCCTCCATACAAGAAACAAACAAGAGGTCACCTTTCCTGCTGATGCATGGTAGGCAGCCACAACTTCCAATGCATAATAAGACCTGACCATAACAACAGAAGTGGATGGTAACAAGGTTAAGAAAAGAGAGGCAATAAGGAAAATGGAAAAGAAAAAACTTCAGACATAAAAAAGGCGGAACAGCAGAAGAGAACGTGGAAGCTTTTGCAATGGGGGACCTGGCAAAGTGTAGAGAACGGAAAAGTAACATAGCAGGGGGATCAGGGCCAGGAAACCTGATCGCGAAGTGGGGTGGGACGTATATTGTCACAGAGAGACGTGCCTCGGTTTACACGATCCAGAGAGAATACAAGAATAAGCGCGTAAATGCTAACCAACTCAGTCAGTCATTCAGTAACAACGTAGAACTTCGTACGTACGTACATCAGTTCGAGTTGCCACACCACATTAGCACAGAGATGCAGTGGTCGATTCAAATCCCGTAGTGGTAGAGGTAATAAGAGTATAAGCAGTAATCAGGAAAATTAGTGTTTGGTGATGTTATTTAAAGAGTATAATACAGTGAAATAAATTTGGAAAGAGGAAAAAAGGGACATGAAGGATTCAGAAGATTAGAATTTGGGAGAACAGAGAGAGTGGATGCACCTGCGCCATTGCAAACGATTTTGAACCATGTCATTTAAGGTCTCTAACCATCGGTTGCTACCATCTCGCGGTCCCCAACCAGGTAGTCTACACCTACCAACACGACTCAGTCCAATTGTCAGTGACTTCGTGGACTTGTGCCATGTTTTGGTCTGGCCGTCCATAACTTTCTTCCAACCTACTCCTATACTACTGAACATCGCACGTCGAGGCAGTCGGTAGTCGGGCATACGTCATACGTGTCCCAGCCATCTCAACTGATGAAGTTTCACTACTTCATCAATTGATTTGCCATCCTTACCTAGTACCCGTTTCCTAACA